GGTGAGGCTGGGGTGGGGATATCCTTCTATATTGTTGGTAGGAATGTAAACTAGTTCAACCATTCTGGAAATCAGAATGGAGATTCCTCAAAAAACTAAAACTAAAAATTCCACTCAACCTAGCTATTCCCCTTCTTGGTATCTTCCCCAAAGAGTTAAAGACATCATACTACAGTGATACATACATACCAGTGTTTACAGTACCACATTTCTTAAGATAAATCTTGGAAATGGCCTATATATCTATCAACAAATGAATGGATAAAGAAAATTTAGTATTTGTATGTGATGGAGTATTACTGTGCCATAAAGAAGGATAAATTAGTCATTTGCAGAAAAATAGATGTACTTTGAGACTTCTTTTTTTTTGTCTTTTTGAGACAGGGCCTCACTATGCAGTTCAGGCTGGCTTTGAGCTCACTTTGTAGCCCAGGCTGGTCTCAAACTCCCAACAATTCTCCTGCCTCAGCCCCCCAAGTGCTGGAATTACAGGCGTGCACCACCATGACCAGCTTACACATAACTTCTCTTATATGAGAAGTCCAAAGTATAAATAATTTTTAAAATAAAACAAAATATAGGCAATAGGAAATGGACACAGATCTTTTGTAAATAGAAAAGAGGATTCAGATGGAGGAATTGACAGCAAAGGTAAGGAAGGGGAATAAAAAGTATTAAAATATGTTAAGTACACATACCTATCCCAAGAAGAATGTAAACATTATGTACAGCAAACATGTACTAATAATGAAATTTTTTTTTTGAAGGTTAAGAGAGTGTGGAGGGAAACTCATTTTTTTGGTCTATTTAAAACAAAGTATGAGGTAATATTACTAAGATTACTGGACAGCAACTGCAACTGTTTGGATATCTTTTTTAATTCACATCTGTAAGCTAAACAACTAGATCTCAAAAGTATACTTCATCAAATAATTTTTGTGAAGAGGAAAGAAGCTTTTAAAGAATTCTACAATTACTAAAAGAACAAGATTTGGAACTTTCACCTGAATGCATGTTATAGAAATATTAAAGGGGGAAAGGTCCTCATGATTCATCATCAATGCCTGTTTTTTTTCAAACCCAGGAAATTCCTTTGCACAAGTTCCTGATCCTAGCCAGATGAAGTGTAGTTGTACTTACTACTCTGTTCATTCCTTTACCAACAGTAGAGTGTGCTGCTATTATATATGTTTAAACCTCATTTTTGGTAAAATATTCCAAATTCTAAAGTTACTTCCTCAGTGCTAAATTTAAAAATAATTAATTAAACAAGATGTTGGCACTCTCTCCATTCAAAGTTTTGGTGGTACAGCCACTATAGAAAACAGTAGGACAGTTCCTAAAAATCTACAAATAAGATCATTGTGTGATCCAGCAATTTTACTTCTGGGTGTATTCCCAAAGGATTTAAAAATAGGAATTCAGGGCTGGGGATATAGCTCAGTGGTACAAGCACCTGCCTGGCAAAGTATAAGATCCTGAGTTTGATTCCCAGTACCCACATTAAAAAAAAAAAGGCCCAAAAATAGGGATTCAAACATATTAGTACACCAGTGTTCACAGCAGTATGATTCATAATAGCCAAAAGATGGAAACAGCCCAGATGTTCATCAAAGATGTATGAATAAACAAAATGTGATATATACAAACAGGACACTATTTAGCTGTAAAAAGAAATAAAATTCTGACACATTACAACATGAATGAACCTTGGGGAACTTGCACTAAGTGAAATAAGCCAATTACAAAAGGATAAATACTGCATGATTCTACTTATATGAGGTACCTAAAACAATTCATACAACATAAAATAGAAGGGTGGTTGCCATGGGCCAGGGAAAGGGAGGATTGAGGGAGTCATTGTTTAATAGATACAGTCACAGTTTCATAAGATGAAGAGTGCAGTGATGGTTACACAGTAGTATGAATGTAATTAATGCTCCTGAACTGAACTGTAAATGGCAAATGTTAGTCTCCATACTCTACTATAAATACATTTTTTAACTGAGGACAATTTGGAAAAGAACTGCCTACAAAGCAAGTTCATCTACCTACAATGTCCCAATCCTACCTCATTAAGTATGACCTATAATCTTCCATCCACTCATCACTTCTCCACTAATTTCAACAGTCTTATTTGTTGAGTTAAAAGAGATACAAACTCAGGGGCTGGGGATTTAGCTCAGCGGCAAAAGCGCCTGCCTGGTAAGCGCAAGGTCGTGAGTTCGGTTCCCGGTACCGGAAAAAAAACAAAAAATTAAAATTAAAAAATAAAAATTAAAAAATTAAAAAAAATAAAAGAGATACAAACTCCAAAGAATTCAAAATCCCTTCTCAAAAGCTTTTCCATAATTAAACATTGTATTACTAGAACCTATTATGTAGCAATGATCAAAATCTGAAGTTTATCTTTAAATCTAATCAAATTCTAGGGCCGGGGATATAGCTCAGTGGCACAAGCCCCTGCCTGGCAAATGCAAGGTCCTGAGTTCGATTCCCGGTACCAAATAAATAAATAAATCTAATCAAATTCTAAAATTATGTCCTTTCACAAAGACACACTGAGCTCTCAAAACTATCACTGATTTCTACACTCATATAACAAAATATAATTTTAATAAATATATAAATAAATAAAAAATATAATTTTGTTATATCCACTTCTGGGTGGGGAAAGTGAGTTGTCCAGCTATAGAAGAAACTGGTGTCATCCAAGAATGTTCATGACAAAGCTTGAGATATAATCTTTAAAATAAATTATCTCATTTTCCTATAACTAGATAAATGCTTATTTTTAAATTAATCCTAAAAATCAGAGAACACACACATAAAAATAATAATAACCAATTTTAAACTCAGACTATGAAATCAAACTGATCTGGTACGTTCATTTGTAAGATAATCACAGGTTCCTAAACACACTAAGGTTAATGCTAGCATCTTAGCAATATTACTTTATTATATTATATTCAGCAATAAAGTTAATTACTTTGGCTTCCAAACAAAAACTCCAGGAGTTTTTGTTTGGAAACCAAAGTAATTATTTTAATCATTTTAATGCATATTTTAATTAATTAATTAATTTGGCAGTACTGGGGATTGAACTTAAGACCTTTGCGCTGAGCTACAGCCCCAATCCTTTATTTTTTATTGTATAATATTAACTTTATCTCTGAATAGAGAACCCTAAATCTTCTGTTCTAATGATTGTCATAAATAATAAGTTAGAAAGCAACTACAAGTTAGTAAGGTAAAAAGTTTGGTGAAATTACAACACAATTACAGTATTAATTTTAACTAATTCAACTAATGAAGTTACACTCGCTGATGTTCTCCAAAATCTTTCCCATATAATTTTTATAACAGGATAAAAACTACACCTAGAAATGCAGTCTTTTTTCACAGGATGCATTCTACATTAGATAAAATATTGCACTGCAGAATGCGGGGAGCAAACATAATGTATGGAAATACCACACTGAAACCCACTACTTTGTAAAATTGGTTCTAATATGTTCAGTTTTAGTAATAACTTAGTGCCAGTGTAATATAGTTGGCACTGATTGTATATATTGGAGGCGGGGAACCAGGTTTCCTTACGTAGTTCAGGCTGGCCTTGAACTCACTATGTAGCCCAGGATGACCTTGAACTGAAGGAGATCCTCCTGCCTCAGCCTCCAGAGTGCTGCAATCACAGGCATGTGCCACCATGCCTGGCTTAATAAATTATATTTTTAATATATATTTTTTAAAAATCAAAAAGATGTTTAAAGATTTAGACAGGCAAAGACTAAGTCATTCTTAAACCTACAATTTGAGGTCTACTTTTAAGAACCCTATGTTTGGAGGCTACAGCATAATTAAAATATACATATATACATATTCCAAGTGTATCAGATACCACAGAGTAAACAAAACAGCAAACTCTGTTAATCGTCACCAGAACATCAAGTTGTAAAAATAACAAAACTTAAAAGAACAGAGAGAAGAAAAGTTCAGTAAGGACAAATACTACCTATAATACTGTTAGACCATGTGCAATAATGACAACAGGATTCAAGAAAGGAAAGTCTGCCTATACTTGACAGTAGCTTCTAAATTAATGCTAAAGTGGTTAAAAATATCTCACTAAAATATTTTCTACATCAAAAGGCAAAGGTAATGTTAACAGGGTATCACTTCTAACTCCAACTCTTTCCTGGTACATACAGCTCTAATTTCAAAGGCCCTCCCTAAAATACTTTCATGCCAGTGTCACGACAGCTGGGTTCATAAGGGAATAACCTTTATTTATTCTTTAAAATATTCCTAGAGAAAGGCCACCACCCAACCCATTCAAGTCTGTAGGGGAGAGAAATCCGCAAATATGAATTGGTTACTAAGTGTGTGAGTTCACTGTGGAGCTCCATTGGAATATAGACTCTGCCTCTTTCTGATCTTCTTACCCTCCAAAGATTCCAATAAGGCAAGTGTCAAATGCTTACTCTTCCTTGAAAAGGACCACAATGCCTGGTTACCCCCACCACCTCTTCCTCATCATTCTTTTTTACTTTTCCCTTAATACAATATATTGTTACCACATCTATAACAACACACACTCCACATCCACAATCCACATACCAGTCTCCTCGGGGGAACAATCCAAAACAGACCATAGTGAAGTGGTCCCACACTCAATTATCTCCAAATTTGTACATATTCCCCATATAATAAACGCCACACACACACACACACACACACGAGTAATCCAAAAACCTTAACACCCCCTACTAAAAATTCTCATTCAACTCGTACGTAATACATTCTATAAAACCAACATAATATATGAATTTTACGCTCATAAATCTCTCACACACACACGTACACACACACACGTACCATATCAAAGCCTAAACTACACATCACTGTAGTGCTCAAACAAATGCTGGGAAGAGGCCACCCTTCGGACACAGGAACCCACGAGGCTAGAGGTGGGAGGGGAACAGAGCCAGATACTTCACCTGAAAATCCGCCAGGATGATCTCGCGGTCCATGTTGGACGCCATGGCTGCCGCCGAGTTCCGCGGCGCCGGGAGCGAAGCGCGCACCTGGGCGGGAGACGGCGCCTCCTGCGGCCGTTGTCGCCGTGGC